TACAGCATTCTTAAATCAAAACGACCCCCCCCCCCTTTGTCATGAAGAGCCTGGGGGAAAAAGTGTTTTTAGCAAATAAGTACAGGCACCTGGAAGCAGTGTAAACACCCCCTTTCCTCTCTGCTGCCCCCCCCCTTTGGATATTTATACAAGAAGAAAGGCTAAAGTTGGGTTGTTGTTTGTTTTTTTTTTGACTGCACAGCATTTCTTCTTTTCCTTCGGGTCTCTTAGTCCAAATGAGTAGTCCGTTTGGTGGAAACTTACTAGTTAATGGAAGCTCTTCGGTGGTAAATCATCGAAAATTGGCAATTGCTCTGGCGAGTGGAGCTTGAGAGAGGCTCTATTCCCATTCTTTCAACAAAAAATCGGCTGTGGTCTCTGACCTATTTATTTGGAGGTAACCTTGCCAAGCGTAAAAGAGATTGAGAGAGCATACAGTGTCACTGGTCCGTGCCATGGGCTGGGACATCCTCCCTTATTTTGAAAAGCCTTCTTTCTCCTTCAGTTTTTCTTTAGTGCTCTTACATCAGCTAATATATTAGTTGCAGTTGTACTTTGCACAGACACTAATTAGAGAGCCATCAACATTGGGGTCCAAAGGCTTACCGACAATGCAACTGTCATAGTGGCGTCTTAATTGGTTGAGTGTAATTGTCATTAGGCAGCGATAAAGACATCTGGAGCTCTGGAGAAAAATCAGCTTTTTTTCCTGCCTCCCTTCGATATCTGTTCTTGCTTCTCCTGGTCAATGCTGTTAAGCACTTTTAGATCACATTTAGGGCTTGGTCCATTTCCCTCTGCTCCAACCGGTGTTGGACCCTCATGAAGCTGTCTGTTTCTTGAGCACGAGTTTGTTAGCATGGAGTCTGATCTCCTTGGCTGTGGCTGCTTGCACTTGCATTAGATTCTCGAGCCTGGCTCTGAGTCATCCCCCAGCACCTCCTGAAACGGTATTTATTCTCTGTTCGTTCTGCTCAAAAAGGAGACATACGGTCTTTCATATTTTGCAGCAAAACATTTATGCTATTGGGGCACCTGGGTGGTGCAGTCAGTCGATCGTCCAACTCTTGTTTTTGGCTCAGGTCATGATCTCAGGGTCATGGGATTGAGCCCTCTTTGGGCTCTGAGATGGCTGGAGCCTGCTTAAGATTGATATATTCTCTCTCTCTCTCTCTGTGACCCTCTCCCTGGCTCACATGCTCTCTCTGAAATTAAAATTAAATTATAAAAAGAAAAAAACATTGATCTATTCTCATGCTCTTTGGACATGAAGAATGAAGTTGATTTAAATGGATATCTATGAAAATGTTCTTCCTTACCAAAATAATTTAGCTTATCCTGTGTTTTTATAGATACTTTAATCAGTTTGGAAGTAAATGCAGGGAATTTAATACCTATTAGTGTGTGTGTTCTGAGTGTGTCACTGACCATCAGCAGAAGGTGGGCAGTAGGAGTAGAAGGAGGTGCCACTCAAACCAGTCAGGTTGTTCCTTGTGGACACCCTCTTTCAGTCACTGTTTACTGTTACCCGTGTGTAAGCCACTGTGATGGAGATAACAGCATCGATATCTCGCCTTCTCAGGGACTTGACAGTGAAGTTGAGACCTGGAATGTAACTGTGAATGCCGTTTCTTTAGGTACAGGGCGTGCTAGTTGAGTCAGAAAAGGCTTCCTGGGGGAGGAGGGCATCTGCTGGACACTGAGGGGTTGGTAGGCTTGGGCTAGGTCAGGGGTTCTCCATGTTGCCTAAACATTGGAAACACTGATGGCCTGGTTCCACTCCGAGAGAGTTTGATTTTAACTGCTCTGTGTGTGCTTCAGGCATCAGGAGTTTGGAAAGCATCCCAGGTGATTCTCGTGTTCAGCCAGCACTGGGACCCCCCACCCCCCGGGCTGGGTTGTCAGGAGGGAGAACACCCCAGAAAAGTGGACAGTTGAACAGAGATGCAGAGGCAAGAGTATGTGGAAGCCAGGAATGGCGGACTTGGCTGGAGGCTGGTTCATGCTAAGGAAGAGCAGAACAGGAGACTGGGTGGAAGCTAGTTTGGGGAGGGTTCTCTGTGCGAGGCCCAGTGATGAAGCCGTCAAGGCCTGAGGAGCTAGTGAGCTTCCTCAGTGTCCAGTGCTATTCTGGCCCGACTCTTCTAGTTGTTGGACTCACAGCTGTGAGTAAGGTCCAGCCCCTGCCCTGAGAAGCAGGCTTGTAGGTTCTTGGGGAGATGAGCAGACACACACACACACACGCACACGCACGCACGTACACACACTCACACTTGCCATGAGAAAAAAGTCTAGGTTGCTGTCATCTGGGCTAGATCACGGGGGGACTTGGGCTAGTGTGGAGGTGAAGGGAGGGAGGGAGAGTGAGTATTCATGTCATCAAGTACTTTTGAGAGCTTGGCTCGTGCAGGGTTGACTTTGGGGGAGGCTCAAACTAAGGGGCTGTGAGGTGCCGAGAGGTTTGGACCGGAGTGGCATCCCTGGGAAGGGAAGGGAGAGGACGTGGCCCCTGAACGCAGAGGGCAGTGTGTGGTGGGCGGCAGAGAGGGTATGGAGGAGCTGCCTGGTTTTGCACCAGTGATGGGACTAGTGTGGTCACCGAGGAAAGGAAGGAGTTTAGCAACAGACTGGTTTGTGGGAAACTGAAGCCTTTCAAGGAGCACATGCGTTTAATTCTAGACACATGGCATCTCAGGGTGAGTGGGACATTTTTTGTGGAGGACAGGCCCATCAGGACCCTCCACGTATTAATAGAGCGCTCTTGGTGGGGCCCTGCGTGCCCTCCCTCTCCTCCTCCCGGGAGCTGAGCGGGGGCATCCGGTTGTATTTCCCAGCTTGCTGCTGGGTGTGGTCCAGCAGTTTTTCATGGTTTTGTGGTTTTGCCTCCAAACTATATGTGTAAAGGGACCTTGGGGCTGGAGCTCAGGCCACTGAAACGCTCTCCTGTGGCCCCTGGTGGGGTGCACCTGTGAGACTGTGGGTGTGGGCCAGCGTACTGGTCGCCAATGGACAGGAAGCACACCTCCCAAGCACACCTCGCCCTGAAAGCCCTTCGTTCTCTGACTACCGCGTTCCCTTTCCGTGTCTCCCAGTCCCCTCCTCTGTACTTCTGGGGGCGTCACCACCCTTCTCTCTTTTCTTTTTTTTAATCTTTTTTAATGTTTATTTATTATTGAGAGACAGAGCATGAGCAGGGGAAGGGCAGAGAGAGAGGGAGACACAGAATCCGAAGCAGGCTCCAAGCTGTCAGCACAGAGCCCGACGCGGGGCTCGAACCCACAAACCACGAGATCATGACTTGAACCAAAGTCGGACGTTTAACCAACTGAGCCACCCGTGTGCCCCGCCCTTCTGTCTTTTCTGAAATGGCTCCTAACTTCCACATGGAATGTAACCTGGAGAATCTCATCATGCACAGTCTAGACAGTCAAACACGTTATCTCTGTTGAGTGTTGCGATAGCTAAGCGAGTGGCCTCTGTCCAGGGAACGCCGGAGTTGTTGTCAGGGATGTCGTGGTGAGCCTGGTAGATCTGGCACAGTGGTGTGTGTTCTTGTGTAGGGTTCCTCATTAGGAGGGGTGATTTGGAATACTGCCCGGAAGACCTGGGAGCCAGCGGCCGTGCTTTGGCCGCGGGGATATCAATATCCGCCCTTGCTTGCTTATCGCCAGGCTTAACGACACTCATGGAGTGAACGTTCCTATTTACTGGAGGATCAGTGGTCCTGCAGAGTTCCCTGAGTCCGATTTTAGAAAGCACGTCTCTCCTGTTGGCCCTTTACACCACACGTACACTTCCCAGGCACTGTCCTACAGGGGGAGAACCGGATCTCCAACGGAGGGACTTTGTGTGACAGAATCACCTTTGAATTACATGATATATGTGTTTACTGTCAGTAGTTTGAGGGAAATCCTGCTACGTTCAGTAAACGAAGCACTCCTCTATCAGAGTGTTCTTTGTTTATTGAGAAATCTCCCATGAGAAATTGATCTGTAACGACTTCACAGATCTATCATGTGATTTCAGTAGTTAAGTAAATCTCAGAGATTGTCTTGTTTGAGTGTTTATACTTTTAATGTCAGATCCAAGAAACCCTGAAGGACCTACAGCCTCAAGGGACCGAACCTGCTTAAACTTGCCTGCCTGTCTTTGTGTTTGCGGGGGTGCATCATTAGACTCTTAAAGCATTTCTAACACACCTCCTCACAGTTGCCGTACATGATGAATCGAACCCTCTGTGGCAGATGTAAGGAACTTGGTGTAAATACCTCGATGGCAGGCACACCACCTCATCTGGTCATTCTGTTATCCTCGTATCTGTGGGGCCTGATGTCTGAGCAGCTTCTGGCCCTGCCTTGGCTTTGATGGAGAGAGTCATTTGTTGGAGTGGCAGTAGTAATAGGAGAGAGTGAGTGCTCCTATTTTCTAAGTGGGCAAAACCGGGGAGCGTCATGCATTTGGGCAAGAGCTTTTCATGAGAAAGCAGCATTGTCTGGCTGCTAAAGGCAAGATTTAATTGTTTCAGCAAATCAATTAGTCTTTGGGGACTTTAATCAGTCAAATCTGATGCATGGATGAGGCATTAGAAAGCTCGAGCCTGTAAGACCATTAGTCCTTAGCATCTCTCTGTCTTGAGTGTATATGTGTAAACAAACACTGGGACTTCTACAAATTCCTGCTAGCCATCCCTTTGCTGGGACAATGCAGGGTAGCAGACTCGTTACGATAGCGTAAAGGAGATCTCGACACCCAGTGTCGTAGTGTGGCGTTCTCATTGAACCGTCACCATTGTGCTGTGAGAACACGAACCGTGTTGACAGCCTTCTGTCGTCTGCTTGACATTTTCTCCTGTTGGAGTCACTCGTCTAAACAACGTGGCAGGAGTGGTTCTACACCGACCAGATCCTCTTCCTCTGTTGTTTTAAGGCTCTCCCCATTTTCCCCACCACAGCCCTGCTCTCCAGTCCCCATTTGGACCCAGGTGTGCCCTTCTTTTCCAGATATACATCAGGGGACGTAAGGGTGTGGGACACCCGCACCTGGGACTACACAGCCCCTTTCCTGGACTCAGAGTATGAGGAGGACGAGCCTGGAATGCAGCCATATGTCTCCTTTGTGAGGATAAACAGCTCGCTGGCGGTAGCGGCTTATGAGGATGGTAAGTAACCGCAACCCTCCTCCCTATTAAGGAAAAAAAAAAAAGCTTTACAAAAATTAAGCAGCTGTGGCCGGCTCCCCCCTGTAATCCCTGCATACATACACGTGGGCACACACACATGTGCACACACATACACCCACTCTTTGGCTTTATGTGAAGAAGTTGGCCAATAACCGTCCATGCATTAGTAGGCAGTGGAGCACAGCACCCAGTAAGACTGGTGTTTAATTCCTACTGGAGCTGGTAGACTGGGTTTCTGTGCCAGACACGAGGCTGGCCAAGCCATCTTAAGCAAATAGCTTGTTTGGTATAAAATATTAAATATACTTGGCCTACTTTTCCTTCAGTCTCTGCTCAGTCCAAAGGGAACAGGGAAAGGGAGGGATAGACAGATAATCTATTGACAAATATGGAAATAGAAAAATAAAAGTCAGTGCCTACCTTTTCCTGGCACTTCCATACCATACAAGATAATTTACGGTGATCTGTGGTCTCTCTGGGATTGATAGAATCCTTTTGTGTACAAACAACTGTGGATCTACAGAACTAGCTAGGAAAAGTCTAAAATTATATGCACCTGAGTCATGAAACACTGGTCAGTTTTGTAGCTAACAGGAATAATGATTTCGAGGGCCATGGCATCCGCGTTCCTGCCTTCCATTATGTGTGAATTTGGAATCTCTAAGCTCTGTTTCCCCACTTGCCTGAAAGGTGAACCACAAAATATTTTGGAATGTTAGTGTTCATGTTGTGGCACTATGGCAAATCTTCAGAGTCACTGGTTGGCTCAGGGACAAAACTATAGTAAAGTAGCTCATGGGCAATTTTAGATTCATATGTCGTTTAAAAAATAGGGCTGAAGTCTTGAAAATATTTTCGATTTATTACTTTAACAACATGAACTCTGTTCTTTCAGTTTGACATTAGTAGACACCATTGGTAGATTTTTTTCAGCCTCTAGAAATTCAGCTAAGCTGTTTCTGTAGTATGTAGTATGTCCTCTATGTTTACTGAGATCCTGGATAGATAACAGAAGATGAGCTTGAGTGTGTTTGGTACTTTCCAAATTACCAATGAGGTTTTTTGTGTGTGTGGTTTAATTTTTTAAATTTTATTTATTTATTTTTAAATTTACATCCAAATTAGCTAGTATATAGTGCAACAATGATTT